TTGATTAATGCAATGTAGTGTCAATTATATGTACATTCCTGAGGTCTTTTATCTGTTGTAGCTTTGTCTTTTTCTTTCTTTTCATTACATCAGGTATATTGCCCTGTAAATTGTGGTAGTGGTACCAGGAATAAAAAATTAAGGAATTTTTAACTTTTCAAAAAAAAAAAAAAAGAATGAAAGGAAGAAACTGAAAGAAAATATTTTTTCAACCAAATACGCCTGTTTATGTTATCAGCTTCTTTAAGGAACAGAGCTTCAGAATCCACTCTGTAGGGCACCGCTTTGTTACTGCAGAGCACGAGAAACAGGCTACGGAGAAGGACAGCAGTCGTGACGGGCTCCCATGGAAACAACACGTCTGTTACTTTTTCTCACTGCCGAGACAAAATATCCAACACCCAACACTAAGAGAGGAAAAGGGTTGGGTAGGCTTACTTATAGAGATCTGATTGCATGGTCTACAGGGCAGGGTGGCAGAGGGGCGTCACAGAGGACAAACAGCCCATGGGAGGGAGAAGGCAGCAAAAGCAGCAAGCAGCGAGTGACAACAGCAACCCTCTTTCTGAGTCAAATCCCAGCATGATTTTGTAGATTTTTCCATCTCTGAAAAGCCCCCCCTTAGAAGTGCATGATGCTGAGTGTGGTGGGGCACACCCATAACACCCACACTCAGGAGGCTGAGGCAGAAGGATTGTTGCAAGTTTGAGACCAGCCTGAGATAAGACTCAAGGCCAACCTGAACTGCGCAGCAAGAACCTGTCTCAAAAGGACAAAAAAAAAAAAAAAAAAAAAAGACAAAAAGAAATATTCAAAATAGAGCTCCTATGTCACAAAGGAGCACAAATCACAACCTTTTTAATAGAAGAAACAGAGAGAAATAGGTATTTTAATCTTCATGTACCTGGTACAATAATTAAATTACCTCTTGAAAAGGAAAAGATAAACTTGAGCATTTGGCGAATTCACAGCGACATACCCTTGGAAATTGAAAAAATCTTTCCCTAGGAAGAAACTATGATGCTATCAGAATTATAGGGAGAAATGGAAATCTACATAAATCCTGGGAGGTAAAAGAGTCATGTCGGGCGCGGGCGCCCTGCTCCTCAGCCTTGCCCCTTCCGCTGGAGCTTATGCCACGAGCCTTGTTTCCTGTATAGCTTTTGGTCCCTGCTGGTAAGATTTGATTGGTTCACATAGCCCTACGAAGCAGCTGACTATTGGCCTATTGCCCACGTCAGGCGATGTACGTGGCACCCACTGATAGGTCCGTGGAGGGGATATAAGGAGGGGTTAGAGGAAGTGGAGGAGGAAGAAGAAGAGAGAGGAGGAAGAAGGACAAGTGAAAATAAAGAGAACGAAAACAAAGAAGGAGGCTCCGTCTCATCCTTTTCCAGCGCCGGTCAGAGTCAAAGTTTGAAAAAAAATTCAGTGTATGCAAAAAGAATTTTTTTTAAATATTTATTTATTTTTATTTATTACATTTATTTATTGTGTGTGTGGCCAGCTCAGCCCACCAGGGGGCGGGTCTGGCTGGCATGTGGTGCTGGGGATCGAACCGCGGTCCCTGTGCTTTGCCAAGCTTGTTTCAAGTAGGTGCTTTAGACCACTGAGCCATCTCTCCAGCCCCTAAACATTTAATTTTTTTTTTGGGGGGGGCGCGGAACCGGGGATTGAACTCAGGCACTTGCGCTTGCCAGGGAAGCGCTTATTCCACTGAGCCATCTCCCCGGCTCGCAAAAAGAATTTGTGCACCAAGTAAAAAATGCACACTCAAACATTAGAGTAAGACACAAACCGCAGAAGAAAGTGTCAAACGTAAACAAGATCCATGACCTGAGGATACTGGGAAAGAACTAGAACAATGGAAAGACACAACTAGGACGGAGATTCATGAAGAAATGCAGGAGTGCCCGACACACGCCACAGCCGCGTCACGCACTCTGCTGTATTCCCGTCGACACAACCAGGCTTCCTCCACCTCCAGCAAAGCAGAGGTGTTTCTGGAGACAAATGACATTCTTTCACAACTATGAAGAAGGAAATCTGAAAAAACTTCAACTGTCTGGCTGCTAGAACTGAGAAGAGATCCCTTCGCCCTGACAGAAGTATTCGTCTGTATAAAACAGTGAGACAAAGCCACACAGCGCGCCTTCCTGCGCAAATTCTGTGGGACACATCCGACGTTTCAAAGTGGCCAATCTAAGCAAACGCTGCATACTGAGGAGTACACTTAGTAACTTCCTCAGCACCAGCACGGAAAACAGGACAGAGCTGTGCATGCAAGACAAGGATGAGCCTCACAGGGTTTCCCTGCATGCTCTTCGCCCTGCCCAGGGCTCAGGTTTAAACTTTCTAAGGGTCCCCGTGATACCTACTTGGTTATGATAGTGAAATCTCACTGAAACTTTTCTAAGAATACACTTAATTGCAAAATATATAAACTCTAAATTGCCATGTGGAAGGAAACCCGCCCCCATTCTAACGTGGGACCCTGAGCGGTCATTTACAGCGCGGGCACAGCTAACAAAGCAGCACAGGTGCAGGCGAGAGCCCCGCAGACGCCCCGCAAGCAGGGCACAGACCGCT